TTTTTTTTTATAAACAGCTTCTATGCTCCTTAGCAATGAAACCTCATCCATCTTTATTTTTTTAAACTTCTCACTATAGATTCATTTGTGTGTGGAATGAAATAAACGGACCAGTAACTGAAAGTCAAGGGTAAAGGTGATGACATTATCTGTAGGATAAAAATAGCATAAATTAAATCCCAACAATTTCACCAAGCCTGACTACAAAATGACCGCATGTGGAGAAATTAAAATATCATGAAGTCACAAATCTGAAAGCCAAGTCTGAATATCAGACTGACCTGCACTTCTGGAACTGGCATGGGTGCCGCATACATAACACGTTGGAGCACTGGCTCCCCATCTTCCACAGTATCCGAAAATGCATCCGACAACAGTTCTGCTCTTTCTGCACCACCAAAAGTCAGTGTCTTAGTTTTCAGTTTCCTCGGTGACTCTCTGTTTGAACAAAGGAACAAAGTGAAACATCATCAGAACCTCTTGCAAGATACTTCCGGTCTGGTTCAGCCCGGTTCTGTCTGGTTCATCCAAGTTCCAACTACTTCATCCAAGATATAGTTAGTTTATTCAAGATCTATCCAGTTCATCTAAGATATCCAGTTCAAGTTGGTTGGTCGATCAAGTTGTGCCTCTCTATCAGTTCTTCTTCTTCTTTGAATTCGGTTTTGTATGCTCAGGTCAGATCGTCATGTGTGCTGCCTCTGTGAATTTGCAAGTCAGTTGCAGGTCCTTTATGGTTCTCCAAAGCTTGCTCTGCACACTTTGCTTTTGAGGCCAGTTTTCTCTTCGCAGGTGTAAGTATAGTGGGAGGCCTGCAGAACGTGCTAAGGGATTTTATTGTCATATTTGACATGCACACTGTAGTCACTGTATAGTTTTGGTTTTATGCATCTGGTAATTGAGCCTCTAGTGTCCTGTTCTTAGACGGAAAATAGTTGTATACCGTTTGCTGTTGAGTCTTCTGATGGGGACTTGTGGATGTTTACTGTTGGTTTGTTCTTTTCATAATTCTGTGCACTGTCCTTGATAAGTGATTTGATAAGTTCAAGACATTTATATCCACTTTAGTCAAGTTATATCTGTTTAATCCATGATCTATACAGTTCTAATTGGTTCTATTCAGTTCAGCAAAGTTCAGGGTTTGACAGAAGTCATCTAAGCCGATCAAGAAAGCAATTTACCAGAATTATTAGTTTTAACATGGCTGCATACTACGTCTAATTACATGCAAGACATTTGAAAAAAAAAGATAGGCACATCTGAAATGCTCAAAAATATATGCTGGGGATGAAGAAGAAATAAAGAGCATAGCAACAAGTAATATTTTTTTTAATTCTGTATCAAATTTACAGATACATTTTTTATTTTTAAGTTGACTTTTTTTTAGAGCACAGTCCTATGTGGTTTAAGATTGTTGGTGTGTGTTTGTGTGTGTGCCTGCCTGTGTGGTGTGTGTGCACATGCAAGGCATCTTTAAAAAAAAAAAACAGGTGCCAGCACTCACCATAAAGTGTTTATTAAGTTGCCAAAAAAAACAATGATAAAAAAAAAGGTTTTATAAATATTGTATGTATGCACGCGTATGCGTATGTATATGTATACATATATAAAATTTAGAGAGATTGTATTTTTCCTTTCTAGCTGACTCACTATTAAATGTATATAAATTTGACTTTACTCAATTTTTAATAACCATGGAGTTTATTTTCTGTATTATTTAGAAAATAAATGGAGCATTCAACAAGAAAAACACAAATATGCAGATCAGGTAGCTAGAAAAGCCAAAAGTAGCTCTTCAATGTTGTCTAGTTTCTGCCTTCATGTGTTATATCTGGGCTCTCAGGGGATCAATATACCAACTGTTGTTTGTTCTGTTTGGAGATGGATACAAAGTTGTTGTCTGTGCTGTCTGGAGATGGACACACCAGCTGTTTGTGCTGACTAAAGAGGGATACATCAGCTGTTTTGTAGATGGATATGACAGCTGTTCTGTGCTGTTTGGAGATTGACACATCAGCTGTTTGTGCTAATTGAAGAGAGACAATCCAGCTTTTGTGCTGTCTGAAGATGGATACATCAGCTGTGGTCTGTGTTGTCTGGAGATGGTTACATCAGTAGATTTGTGTGCTGTTTGGACAATGATACAACAACTGTGTCTTTGCAGTTATAAGATTGATTCACCAGCCTAAATCTCCACTCTCTGAAGAAGGTGGTACCAGCTGCTATGCTGGAAGGTGTGGTAGCTCAGTGCCCAGCATGCTTCTTTGTCATTTTAATAAAAAAGTTGGTGACACTTTCATTATCATTTGTTGAGACAGCTGTTGAAGCATTTCTATTGTCTTTTCTCTGTCTCACTTGCCTATTATTTCCCCAGCAAAAGTAAAATTTCTCTACTATGAAAACTGTTATGAATACCATAAATAACAGCGTATGAGTTTAAGTTTCCAAGCCTTGAAAAATCTGTCCAAAACTAAGAGCTGACTTAAATGGCAGGCATAAAATATGTTAGCTAAGTATAGGCCTGTTTAAAAGAATGTGAGCTTGAAATCTTGAAGTCGACAGTACATTTGGTCAACTTGGATGCTGCAATTTACGGTACTTGAAAATTATTTATGATATGGCTGACAAAAACATTACCAAGCCAAATGGAACATTAAAGAAACTTTTGGACATGGGAGTGACTAAAACAATTAGTAATAAATTTTTAAAATGTCACTGTCTAGTGCCCTAAGAGAAAAAAATAAAATAAATGAAATGGTACGATAGCACCAGGGTGGAGCTTGGGGCAGAACTAAAATTTAAGTAAAATAAGAGGTGAGGAAAAGATTTTGAGGCTAGTCAAGGCCCACAGTGAGATAATTTTTTTATTGCATAACTAGAAAATGCATTATCTGAAACTTAAAAAGCAAAAATACCTGCAGACCTCTAAAAATACAAGAAGAGATTAGAAAAAGACACAAATTTTTAGGACGACAAGCTGACAGATAAGGAAGAAAGCAGAAGATATAAAGTTTCTTTGTGAGCTGGTTGAAGGCTTAGAGTGCTGCTCTTTACTAGACACATAGATTTTAAGTCACAGTACTTATATTGTGGAAGCCGTGGTAGCGCAGTGGGTAGACCCAAACACCTGCCGGTCCATACTTCACAGGTTCAAATCTGCATCAAGTAAGACTGTTTTTTTATCTTTCAAAACTGACCTGCCTAAAATGGATGTCTGGTTTGGAAAGCAAAGCCAACCAGCATGATACTGACAACATACCTAACCAAGTAACAAAGTGCTGACTGGATTTAAACAATATGAGACTAGTACCATATGCCCAAATCACCACTGGTGTAAAAAAATCAAAAGAGGTGGGGGGGGGGGGGGGGGGGGGGTGTCGCTTACTTATTTTACTTTCATTTATATTCTGACTAATGATGCTGATTCATTCAACTAAAGACCTCTTTCAACTGGACTCCCTAGCTGAGTTATAATGTTGACCCTCTAAAGTTCAGGCATGTAGGTATAGTTTGCCTCAAAAATTAAGTAAACAGGCAGGAGGCTGTAGCCATTATGAAGCAATTTATTTAGTAAGGAAAATTATCCTTTAAAAAAATTTAAAAACTTTACAAAACACCTTTACAGAATATGTTTACAAAATATCGATACAAAACAAACATACACCTAATATTTTATTTCCACTGAATATAAAATCTCATCCGGTGACTGGTGTATGACACAAAAAAGGCCAAGAAACCTCTAGCCAAGCTAAACTAAAAAAAAAAAAAAAAGCAAAACTTTAAAGAAATAAAGAAATGAAGAAATTAGCTGCAAAAATACAAAAATGCTGGTGACTACAAGCAAGTTATTGTACAAGCAAAATGTGGGAGTGTCAGCTGTCATATCTCAATGGCTAGACCCTTGCTTTCCAGCACAAAGATCCTGGCTTTGGATCTGCATCGAGGCAGCAATCAGATTTTTTAAACTGACTTTGGCTCCCACTGGATGCAGCTAAAAAAAGAACCTTGGAAGGAAAGGCAACCAGTATGATGTTGACCATGTCGCTCATTAAATTAATATTAGTCTAGGACCATCTAGCCAAAGGATCTGGGAGAATTCAATGCTCAGAATAAAGGGAAGACAGAAATATAATTAGATTACAGCTGGTATCATTAGTATTACTGTACTGTAACTGTGCACAGGCTGCTGAAGATGGGGACAGTGTTTATTGAATACCCTAAGCGCTATGAGTTTTGGATAAAGCAAGGTATTCTTTTGTTCTTCTTCTTCTGCTTCACTTCTCTCATGTAAACCATAAGTAAACCAACTAGCTCCAAGCCCTTTATGGGCGTGTTCATGACTAGCTAGATTCTGCAGTTACTTTCTGCAAGAAGAGACTTCTAATCTCAAGCCAACCCTCCTTAGTTGGTCTCATGAGATTTGTGGCAAGCTCTAGTGTTACAATTCTCTGCCTCCCCACAGAGCCTGGCTAACATACAGATTAAAATGTAGCATAATCAAAGACAAATGGTAAAAAGAAGGGCTTTTCCAGGATTTTAAATTGTTCAAAACAAACAATAACCTAAGTTTTCGGCAAAAGGAAATATCAGGCTATCAGTCCGTACATTTGGCATTTTTAAAGCAAAATATCTGGCATAAGCCAAAAAAAAAAATGCGAAAAATATGCCTTCTACCGCATAATATGCAAGCCACAAAAAAAAAACTGCACTCTCAAAGTAAAGAAGAGGGAATAGATGCTGTGCTGTCATCAGACCTCTGGCAGGAAGTGAAGCTGAGGTCATAGATCATAATAACTGACCTGAACGTCTGAGTGCAGCATGGCTGCACCAGACATTTCAAGCTGCAACTCCTCTGCTCCATCAGAATAGTCCTCATTCAAAACATCCAATCTTTTTTCCTGTTTCATCAGTCGATTCCGGAATGAAACTTTTCTGGAAGGTTCGTATCTGTGTGAGATGAACAGAAGCTAACAAGACTGGACACCAGACTACACACTGACCTGAACCGGAGCAGGTGCCAGATCATACACTTGTGGGCTGTCGTAAGCACAATAAGCCAGGGCAACTGGGGAGGCAGATTTTGCAAATTTTGCATGTGGTGCCGACCTAGCCATCATTTGCATTGGTGCCGCAGGAGGAGGTGGAGGCCTGCATTAACAAGATCAAATGCTGAAGGGTACAGTACCATGTCATAAGATTCTTGCCACAGCTTAAAACTAAGACTATTCCACCCCAACTCAGAAATGATGCTCTAAATCAGCATTAAGTCCGAGAAATTAGAGAGTAAACAAGCATGCTGGGAATAAGTATGTTGTTTGCCTTATGACATAGCAAGTCCTTTGAAAAGCATCACTCTCATCACAGCCCACCTGAATGTGCTCAAGATCCTTCTTCAGTTCCATTGCCTCATGCATTATCACTCCAAGTATGCCTTTAATGTTTCAGACTGCTTGATTCTATACTGCTTGATTCTATATTGCTTGACTCCTACCTTTTCTTTCAAGAAGCAGGCCTTCCATTACTGTTTTTTTATAAATAACTGCAGAATTTAGTATGGGTACATGTTTTCATTTCTGAGATAAGATATTGTTTATAAGCCATTTTTTTTCTCGTCCTATTTCTGTGTTCAGATATTGTAATTTACTTACAATTTCTAAACACTGAAATAGGACGAGAAAAAAGCATGGCTTATAAACAATATCTTATCTCAGAAATGAAAACACGTACCCATACTAAATTAAGGACATTTTTCCACACCTTTAGGCGTATAGGGCGCATAAGGCATATAGGGCTAGACCTATATTTTTATAGACCAATCGGCACAAGATGGGTGATGTGGTCAGCATCACACTGGCCGCCTTTACTTCCGGGAGCCAAGGTCATTTTTGAACAAAGTCCGGCTGCATCCGGGAGCGAACCCACGACCTTCTGATCAGCGGCGAGCGTCTAGTCGCTCGGCCACGGTGACGACCTCAGATATTGTAGAATGTCAATAACTTGTGTGTCAGTTCTTGATCCATGGTGTTCTAAGAATTTATGTATCTGCATTTGTCAGTGATGGTTCCTATACTGAAGACATGATCCCTGGTACCTATGCTCTGTCAAAACTCATCCTGTACTTTGTGTAACTCATATTTCTATTTCATTCAAACTAAGATTTAAAAAAAAAAAAAAAATAAGTCACCTCCACCTTCGTATTCAACAAACAGCATCTGTTTCATTAAAACAAGCTAGTAATATTTTTTTTTCTTATATTTACTCAAACATAAAGATCTTTCTTATAACTATTGAGGCTGTCTGGATGAAAGAATCTAACTCATAAATATCTGTTTACTGCGAGAGATGAAAAACATGAATCACAAAATTATTTATCCCTTAACACTATAACCTTCAGAAGGTTAAATCTATCACCTCTGGTTGTCATCATCATCAGTTCTCATTATGCCTAGTAGCACATGAGGCTTCAGAGAGGACTTTTCATGCTTTCCTGTCCTGTGCAATCTTCAGTGCAGTTTTCCATGTCAAAGATGCTGGACTCAGGTCACTTTCCATCGTTCGTCTCCATGTTGTTTTTGGGCGCCCCTGTTTTCTCTTTCCCTCTGCTGTTCATGTGAGAGCTGTTTTGGCAGGTATATCAGAAGTCATTCTCAAAACGTGGCCAAGCCATTTCCATCTTCTCTTGGTAATCATACTGTCTAATATTTCTTGATTTGTGGCTTGAAGTAGTTTAGTGTTTGAGATTGTATCTGGCCAGAAAATTTTGATAATTCTACGTAGACATGTGTGGTGGAAGGTGGACAGCTTGTGTGCATCCTTTTTGGTCATTCTCCAGCATTCCGCTCCATAAAGAAGAACTGGCAAAATGATGCTCTTGTAGAGTCGGAGTTTCGTTCCTCTGCAGTAATTGTTGGATTTCCAGATTTGCCTCATCTTTCCAAAAGCAGCTCTAGCTTTGTTCAGACGTGACTGTATGTCTTCCTCTGTTCCTCCCAGTAAGGACACCACACTGCCAAGATATGTGAAATGTTCTACATCTTCAAGTGATTGGTTACTTATGGTCACTGGTTGTTGGTTTGGACTGTTTGTCATGATCTTAGTTTTCTTTGTATTAATTCTCAGTCCCACTATTTCTGCTGTGCAGTTTAGTCTGATACTTTTCTCTTGTATATGTTCATGTTTATGTGATAGGAGTGCTATATCATCTGCAAAATCAAGGTCCTCAAGCATGGTGAATGGAGTCCATCGTATGCCTCTTAATGTCCTGTCTACTGTGTTCTTTAGTATCCAATCAATCACAAGGTTGAAGAGGAGAGATGACATAACACATCCCTGTCTTACACCCGTCTTTACTGGGAAAGGTGTATTGTAATTTTTTTTACTGCAGGAAAAGTCTTTATAGAAGAGAGCAATTATGTTGACTATTTTTTCTGGAATTCCATAATGTCATAAAATTTTCCACAGACTGTCTCTATGGACGCTGTCAAAAGCTTTCTCAAAGTCCACAAAATTAATATATACTTCTCTGCCATTCGTTGCATTGTTCTAAAATGTTAAGTATGGCGAAGATGTGCTCAGTTGTTCCTCTGCCCTTTCTGAATCCTGCTTGTTCCACTCGTAGGCATTTGTCTACTCCTTTTTCAAGCCGCATTATGATGATTTTACAAAATATTTTGCTTGGTACTGAGAGTAGAGTAATTCCCCTCCAATTATTGCAGTCTGTTAAGTCTCCTTTTTTGGGGATTTTGACTATTGTTCCTTCAGTCCAATAATCAGGCAACACTTCTTTTTCCAAATATCCTTGAACAATGGTTCTAGAATGCTAGCAGTTGTGTTGGGATCTACTTTGAGAAGTTCTGCTGGCAGTTCGTCTTTGCCTGTTGCTTTGTTGTTCTTTAAAGTGTGGATAGCTGTAAGGATTTCTTGTTTGCTTGGTGGTTCAGTAATAATGTCAATGTCCTGAGAGGCTGGTTGAATATCTGGGGGATTTTCAGGATCAGGTCTGCTCAAGAGGTCGGAGAAGTGTTTAGTCCACTGCATGTCTTGTTTTTGTTCTGTGGTGAGCAGTCTGCCTTGGTTATCTCTGATGGGTATGCTGTGATAATTGTTTCTGTTTCCTCAAATTTGCTGGGTAATTTTGTGTAGGCTTTGTAGATCATGTGCTTTAGCAGCATTTTCTGCTGTTTCTGCAAGATTTTCCATAAATCTTCTCTTGTCAGCTCTGGCACTTTTCTTGGTCATTTTATTTAGTTCGCTATATTCTAACATTAGTTTGTCTTTCTGACGTTCTGACCTCTGGTTGTGACAGCCCTGTAAGTGACCTTTTTTTGTGTAGTTAAATACCATTGTTTTAATGTGTCCCTGTGTAGTGTTTAGGAGGCCCAGATGTGAACATATTAACTAAATGTAGCAGTCAGAGGGTCTTCCTTGTAAATAAAATAGCTTTTACAAAACCAGATCTTAAACCTCAAGGACAGTCTCATTTATTATTCTTTATATATGTCGAAACAAAAATTTCAAAAGTGTAAACAAATATTTAAATAATTCATTAGTTACTTGTGTAAAGATTTCATAGATTTTATGTGTTATTTATAAACAAAAATAAGATCATATATCAGAGGTTAAGTATAATATATTTTAAGTGCACCTTAAAAATAATTATGATAATCTACCTTTGGAAATATTTAAAGTGATCTGGTATTTTATTATTTTGGTTTGTGATATTACTACCTTATGAAAACATTTCTGCTCTTGCGTTGTCCTATTTAATTTAATGTAGTTCTCTAAAGCTATTGATCTTCAACATGTTTCCTACTGTCGTTGGCTTACTGCAGCAGGTCAAATATTCATTTAGAGGTGTCCTATAAAAGTTTATTTCCAGTAAATTTATAACTTTAAAAAAAAGACACACTATATTTGCACCCAGAAAAAACACAGACCCACTGAAAACAAAAATCTTTACTTAAATTCCAAAACACAACAATAAGAGAAAGATACCTCCGCCTCCCACACTCTTTTCACCCACTCATGAAGCAAAGCACATCATCCAAACAAGAAACATTATAAACGCTAACCTGGGCAGCAGACAAGTAACCAGACATTTTTTTTTTTAGCAAGTGAGAGTTGCTCAGTTATTTATGCAGCGTGGAGCAAAGTGTGAACATTAAATTACATTTTTAATTGGGAAAATTGCTCGTTTAATTTTTATCAATTTCAACACCAAAGTTTTCTGCTATCATCTTCACAATCAGACATGACCCTTTACCTATCAATGTTCTGATTTAAGTAATGAATTAACCATTGGAAACTGAACTTGGATGCCCCTCCCTAGCTTTATCTTTAATCCTTTCCATGCCAGTTTTGAGTCATAAATAGCATCTGAATAAATGTGAATGAGATAAATACTCAACCCCATAAACTTGTCTCACTAATTTAGCTGTCACAGTAGCATTTTTTCCAAGTCTGAAACAGAACTGAATGTTTTTTATGTTCACTCTTTGTTCCATGATGCATATGTAACAAAGCAACTCTCGTTTGATGAACAAAATGGTGGGTTATTTGTCATTTACAGATCAGGCGGCAATGCAATTTGGCCAAATCAAAGATGGCTGGTGTCTGTTTGTATAAAATGTTTTTCTTCATGGATGATGTTTTTGTCTTGGCCATAATAAAATCAGTCTCATTATTTAGTGGCCAGACTGTGTGTAACAGGAATACAAACGCCTGCATAGAGAATATAATTTCTTGAAATCAAGTACTGAACAAAGTGAATACATGATAAGTCAGAGACAAAAAGTTTAATAAGTAAAGGAGACGATGGCATTTTGACAGACAAACTAGCACTTGTTAATGTATGTGGTCAAACTGACATCAGCCACAAATGCTTCTATAGTGTAGTGCTCACCTGCCGACCTGAAGGTCTTGGGTTTGAGCTCACATCAACACATTTTTGTGTGTGCTTCCAGGTGGAACCAACCCAAAATAGGTACAAAGTAATGTCCTGGGAAGCCAAGGTGGCTTGCAAGGTCAAGACCACATTACACATTCATGCCAATTAGTTTATAAATTGTTTGGCTGCTGCGCCAAAAGCTTGAGAAAGAATCGTTCATTTAGTTTTACACAACAGGTACTAGTTATTAATAAACATCAGCCACCTTTACTTCTCAGGACATTTTCTGGTACTTATTTTAGGCCAGGCAGACCAAAAAATCAAGATTCCCCCGATGTGAATTCAAGCCCACGACTAGCAGGCCAACAGGCAACTGTGCTAGAAAACTGCTCGCTCTTTCACGGCTACAAATTAAATGATAACTGATTAGACAAATGTCCTTAATGTCAAGGGAAGAATCAAAGTGCCTGACATATTTTAAAAAGTCAATGAAAAAATATATATATCACACATAAAAGAAAACATATTCCTTATGTTGCACAGGAAGAGAGATCAACAAAACATTTCTGAGGAATTCATAGTATGCAGCCATGCTTTTGTGTATGAATTAAAATATATTACACGCATGTGCAAAGCTTAATTTATTTTGTCCATTTTTCAGCGCTAGTAGCGTATGAGGAAAACTTTAAACCTGAACATCGGGAGCAGTTAACGGCTTTTCAGGTGATATGTTCTCGTACAGCACCAAATCTGAAGCATCATTTGGTATTTCTGGCTGTAGGGCAGAGTTTGTGTAGTACTGCTTGACTTTCTTACCACCAAACCCTGCTCTTTTTATGACATAACTGAAATAATTAGCATCCATATGATGTACTAACTGGCAGATGCTAGTGATTAATTAAACATCAACACAAAAACTAGAAAGAATCGTACTGCTAATCCTACACTTACTGTTGTCTGCACTGCTCAAGAACTTTCCAGGCTTATATTGGACTAATCAGCCACCTTCATACTCATAATAATTGATCATTACTACTTTGGATGAAAGTGGTCTCCATCACTCATGATGGACGAACAACAACAATCAGTGTGAGGAGTTCACCGAGGAGGAGACTAGCCTTATCTTTCGACAAGGCAACGCAACCTGCAAATGTTATGGCAAGGCAGACCAGGCCCTTAACCTGGGTTGGCAATTGGTCTAGGAAGGAAGCTCTGACAGAAGGACAGAGAGAGCTTTGTTCTTCTGAAGTGACAATTTCTGCAGCATTCTTTTCTTTTTCCAAACGTATTGGTGTTACCTTTCCTCTGGAGTTAACAAAGCAGGCGGAGAGAGGAATCATACTGCATGAGCAACATATGGTCTCTATAATACTGGCCAGGCTTCCGCTATGGACAGGAGGGACTTCATTCCTAGTCTTACTTATTATCACCACAGGTTGTGACTCCTATGCTTCCCCTGTAGCACAATGGAACACTATCATATGGAAAGGTGCCAACATCTTCTCCTTCTGCTCTACATCCGCCAATGGAACATAGACCTTAACCTTATCGTCATCATATTCTTTGCTTTTACATACATTTCACCCTGTCCTTTTCTTTTCATTTCAGTCAATAATTCTCTTCTCAATGTGCTCTTTGGTCTCCCTGTATTTTGTTTAGCTCTGTGGCTTCTAGTTTGAGGACATTTTTAAACCGCTCCTGTATTATTCTACAACTCAATGCTACAAATTCTATTAGTGATTTTGCTTTTTTCTGAGTCTTTCAGAAGCACAAGGGTCACTAGTTCACTGTGAGGGGCATTTTCCTCTGTATAACTTCAGAACAATTTCACCTGTATTTAGAATTTGTTATCTGATCCAGTCTATCTAGTTTCACACAATGCAAAAACCAAAATCCTATAATGTTTCCTTTCTGTTACCTCCTTGGCTGGTCAGTACTTAACATCTTTAAAAGATGTTTCATGCATTCTATCTGTACATAAATTCTATAAAGGAAAAGGTAATCCCATTGCACAGACTTCCCTTGGGATGTGTAGTCTTTAGCTGCAGACCACTTTGCGTTGATTCTGATAACTGTATAAAGAGGTAATCACACAGAAAGCAATGGCAAACTACTGAACTTAAAATTGCTTAGTAAATTCACAATAAATGCTTGCTTCGGCTTCCAAAGTCCTGAAAAGGGCTGCTTTGTAGAAACTTATTTTTTATGAAATAATTAATCTGAGGACTTTATCCTTTTCTCTGATCCTAAAGTAATGGATAAGATGCCTCATGACCTCAAGCAAGTGGATATCCCATAAGCATATCGTTCAGTGGCAGAAAAAAAATCACTTAGTGAGCTAAATTTAAACATCAGAAAACTTACCCACAAAAAAGTATTTATACCTTCGTATTCTAGAACACAAATTTAACAATAAGTGAATAAAAAAAAAAGATATAATAAAACGTGCAAAAGAACTAACCAAACAAATCTGGTTAAGAACAGATGCTTTAGAACATGAACAGATGCTTTAGAACAAACACAAGTTACAATGCTTACCTGTATTTCTTCACAGATAACTGGGTTGTAGGAAGTGTTGGGATTGTCCCTCCAATACTTGGTTCAGCCGTTGACAGAAACAACTTCACATCGTTCCAGTCTTCACCTGAGCTCTGGCGGATCATGCCATAGTAGAAAATCTGCAGAACAAGCAGAGTTAATGACACCAACTTTCTCAGATGTAGATTCTCAATATCTCAGACAAGATCATCAATACTCTCAGACAAAATCAACATTCTCAGACAAGATCATCAATCTTCCCAGACTGATTATCAACATTTTCAGACTTAGTAGGAGAGATAATTACATAAATTTCTCAGGGATCATCAATTTTCTCAGATAGAACCATCAACATTCTCAGACCAGAACATCAATATTCTCACACAGGATCGATATTCTGAGACAAATATATTGATATTCTCAGAGATCACAATAATCTCAGAGATTAATAATATTCTACTATATAATCATCAATATTCTCAGACAAATTTCATAATATTCTCTTGGGATAATCAATATTCTCATAGATCTTAACATTTTCTGACAAGATCGTCAATAGTCTCAGTCAGATTTATTGATATTCTCAGAGATTATCAATATTATCTGATGTAACAATCAATATTCTGGAACAAGGTTATAAATATATACAAATATCATCAATAATCTCAAATAATATCATTAATATTCTCAGATAATATCAGTTATATTATCAAAAATCATCAATATTTTCAGACACAATCTTCAGTAATCGTGGACAAGATCATCAATATTATCATGCAGAGCATCAATATCTCAAAGACTGATCCTTAAAATTCCAATAATGATAACTAACATACAACTTCATTTCTCAGACAAATGAGATCACACAAGTAAAGTACAAGATAAATACAGAGGTGTTTGCTATAAAAAATGTGTGACAAAATAGAGCCAGAACAATATATACTTTAAAATCTATTGTTGCACAGTCAAAGCTCAATGGGTTTCCATGAAATTTCCTGGGACCTATTTTGTGCTAAGTCATAAAAAATCCACAATGATGCAGATTCAAACCCGACTTAGAAGGAAACACCCCTAATGAGTCACCTTTTATGACACGTGTGTTAGGGGTCTATTCTTTTCCTCACAAAATGGGTACGTGGAACCCACATGGGAAAGTAACAAGCAACTCACCATGCATTTGTTAGTTTCAACAGACACATTCTACTTGTCTAGACCCACACTGTTGTTACCTCCATACTGCTGTTATAGCCACTAACTTTGTCCCAGTTTTTACTTTAAGATCTATTGTTGCACAGTCATTATTTTAACTCCTCAGACACATTTATTCATTCATTGTGCTGTTGTGCCATTATATGTCATACAGAGCTCAAAGTCTATTTCTCTGTTATGTTCTGCCCTGTGCATTCCAGCCTAGAACCTTTGACCTTTCTCATCAATGCTCATGTTAGGGTTTCTTTAGGACGTCCTTGCTTCCTCAAACCCTTTATTTAGCACTTCTTTACCTGTTTGGTGACAGGATGTATCCTCCTTCTTCTTCTTTTTTTCACCGGCTGTAAGCTCCAGTGGAAAGTCCTGGTTGTTCATCTGTTTGGACTTTGTGCCATGGCCTGAGTTTTGCGTGTACATCAGTTTTACTGGCTTATTTGTGTGCAGTTGGTTGTTCCTTGTTGCTTGGGCAGATGCACTCCGACTTTGAAGGAAGCTCCCAATTAGTCAACTCCTAGACATGTTTGTAGGGAAAGCAGTGGGTCTGTTCTCCCCCCCCCCCCCACAAATGGGGTCCTGGAAGCCACATGGGGAGGATATATCCAATATAGCGCTATCTTCTGTATTTTATAACTGGTGAATTGTTAAAATAATACATTCTCAATAAAAAGATTGAGTTTATGTAACATCCACTAGGTACTGAAAGAGTTAAAAAAATTTTCAGGACATCTTTATTCTTCTTATGCCCTATATCCACCATTAGAGCATGGGTCCTCAACCAACTCACGTCCAATCCTTTTATATCGCATACAGCTCACCTCATATCCTCCCAATCTTTCAACTTCACTTTCTAGCTACCTTCTCCATGTGTGTTTTTTGGTCCCGTTTTTGTAACTGGTTTTTTTTATTAATTGGTTTTTATACCCTTTTTTGCCTTTTACAACATCTTAGGTAATGCACTGTGTTAATATTCTTTACTTTCCATGACAGCCCATGTAACACAAGGGCAAACATCTTAATTACAGACAAAAATTAACATAAAATTATGTGATAACACCTAAAGACTGCCAACAAAATTGTTTGCAGGAGTTAATACCTTCAGATTTCCCTGGTCAGTGAACATTCGCAGGTCATAGAATGGAGTCCATGATGCTCCCCAGACAACATAAGACACAGTGAGCTGGACTGTTGTTTCCTTCTCCGCCTCCAACACGACCACACATTCTCTGCTCACAAACACAGGACAAGTCAAAAATTCAGGAGAGTTAAAATCCCCATGTGGGTTCTGGAGCTTCCTTTTGGTGAAAAAGAGTTACAGACCACTCCTTCCCCCCCCCCCCCCCCCCCCCCCCCCCCTTTCCACCTTCTTTTCCATCTCAACAAGCATGCTGTAAAAGACGACTGATGAACATAAATTCAGATGTGCTAGGCCGAAAGGTGCAAACATTGCAGCCTCACTGTAAACCTCAACGTGCCAACCACCTTTTAAAGAGGAAGTAAAACATCAAAAGACATGTCAAGATAAAGGTAGTCCACAACCAATATGGCCACTGGAGTGGGAAGTGCTAGGACTTCGAGCATACTTGGCCATGGCATTTGTTGTTGGGGTGGTCAGTTCCTTTCCCCATCGCCGTTCCTTCCAGAAGTTCCTGAGAAAAAAAATTTATACGAGGTGGTGATTTTCAGTTCCTTTCCTCATCGCCTTACCTTTCCAGAAAATTCTAGTTAATATCTGGTATCTATTTTGATAAGTCTGTTTCAAACCCAGAGCTGCAGAGTAACAAGCAATTATGTCACGACTGGGAACTAACCACATGAATCCTCCCATTTGTCTCAGAAGGGGAAATACTGAGATTCCATGAGATCTGGACATTAAAGAAAACTGATACATAAAAAATATTATATATCAGAAAGTGAAATACACTAATCATATCAGATGCTTGAGCCATGGTAAGCATGGTTTCTGGACAGAGGTCGACCACCATGAAGAGGAACACATGACATCAAAGACACACTGAGTAATGGATGCACCGGGAGAGGAACTGGAGAGTGAGATGAAAAGGATGGAGAGAGCATGGGGTGAGTTCCACTGAGTGGTATAGGGGGGGGGGGGGGGGGGGGGGATCAAAGGCAGATGATTCTTCTTCTCAGTGTTCTTAAAATATGTGTTATTCTTAAAATGGCATTGGCATGTTGTGTTGTGGTTTACAGCAAGGCTGCAATATCTGTGCATTCTTGCAAAATAAATCAGATCTCAGCAAATACAAAATTAGTTCCGATGGTGGTTGAGATGATAATGATGATGGTCACAAGATGATGGTGGTGGTGGTGATGATGGTTATGACAATGATGGTGATTGTGATAATAGTGGTGATGATAGTGGTAAAATGATGGGGATGATGGTGGTAAGATGCTGTCGACTGACCTATTTTCATGACCGCCAATGAATCCTCCCTGAACTTCACACAGGTTTCGCTCTGCAGCTTCAATCTTATTAGTCAGCTCTTCATTTTTGTTCTCAAGGGCCAAGCGTTCTTCCTCCAACTGGCTCCCAATTTCCTTGTATTGCTGCAGGAAATCTTTTAAACCTGGGCATTAAAGATACCATGAGAAGCAGAACTAGTCAGCTTCAGTATATAACAATCATGAAAGAAAAAATAAACATTGCAGAAGAAAGCTTTCATTAACATACAACACAAATGGACAATGATACAGTTACAAACAAGAATTCATAAAATCATTTCTCTAGTAAGATAAGGCAGTCACAAAAATATCCATTACACATCTGAACAGTAGATGCTATGAGTGCACATATGGTTGCATTAAAGAGATACTGGACAAGAACTGAGCCAGGGAGCTGGGATTGACAAGCAGATTGAAGGTTACAGCAAGGGACTTAAGTCAAAAGTTTTAGATAAAACCAGTATTGGAGATTAAGGCCCTTAGGAGATGGACAGTAAGAGAAGACATGACCATCATTAGTGAATGCAAAATGCCAAGTCAATTCTACATTTTATACATTAAAATAAGCTCACTTAAACCACTAAAGATTATGAGAGATTAGAGGAGAGGAAGATATGTGGAGGTCCCAACAAAGGAATTTAAAATCATGAGGAAAATATAATAGGGAAAAAGACACATGGAGGTGAAGATTAAAGTTCTTAAAGTCATGGAGGAAATCACAACAAGAAACAAAGACACGTAGGAATCTACACTAAGCATTTGTAAAGTCATGGAGGAAAAAAAACTTTACAAGAGAAAGATTTTCTGTGGCCAGGATAATAATTATCAAGTTACAGAAAACATAACTGTAGAAAGATGCTGAGAAGTCATTTTTAAATCACAGAAAGCATAGCAAGGCCAAACTTGGAGATTCATCTAGAGTGCCTAAACAGGGCTATTCAAATCTGACGCAGATCACTGTCAGACCTATAGTATTAATAATATTTCTCAGTCTGCATTCAAGTGAATCAGATCTGTAAAACTGATGCACATGCAACACTCAGGTTCTGGAGCAGGACTGCAGTTCAGAAAGTGGACGAACAATCAGAACTTTCCGCTAGAGTTTACAGCTGGTGAACACGAAGAAGAAGAAGAAGAAGAATATTTCTATACTGGGGCTCGGGCCTCTAGCTCGTGACCATCCCTTTTAACAATTCTGGCCCTGAGTAAACTCAGCTGAACAGCTCTGGTCTAAAAGATAAAATTGTCAAACAGTGCTGCCATTTAATGCCTCCAGTATATCCCCATGCCCATCTTCAATGGCCAAATAATTGGTGCTTTTAATGGTAAGATATCAGGTATTTAATTTCCACTCAGCCCTACATGGCGTGAATGATGAATCCACATAAGTTTATAAAGGTCTGAGGCTTCAACAAGTAGCAACCACTCATGCCGTTGCCATCCAGCCTGAACTTTCTAAAGCATGAAGTCTGAAACAAGCATCTCTTTGTAAGTGAATTATCGACCTTTTAGTACCACAGGAGCAGCCCTTATCACCATTCACAAACTGGGTCTTATTGTTGCTTTTTATTCTTTTTCTGTGCCTGCTTTTCAAACAGCAGCTGACAGTTTGTTCTGGTTTAAAGCTAGGCTATGAAATATATTGCTTTTTGGGGCCCTGGAACATGAATTGAAAGGTGTTACTGTTGGATATTCTTCTTTTCTGTTCTTTGATGACTTTACTAAGAAGATCCCACCATGATTGTTCCCCACACAGCACATATCAGTGCAATTCTGGTATAGGCCTGTTAGTGTTGGCACATCTGACATCTCCATTATGCATTTAATTTGCATGTTTTAGCTTCAAAATTTTACTGGGACTGACATGTTTTTCACTAGTTTTTAAATGGAACAGTGAAGAACGGGGCAACAGTCTGTCTGCAACCTAGCTGGAATGACTAATGACTAATAATGCTGTGTGTAGGCTGATGCATCTATGCTACATGCACAAAAGAAGAACACAGCTAGACAACTTTTACACTTATCATTTATATTGTGTGGGTTCCAGGGCAAGAGGGGAGAACAGACCCACTACCCTATAACAAACACAAGATAAATCGCGTCTAATTAGGAGTTTTCTTAAATTAGATAGATGTTTCACCAAAAGACGCACATATTGCAGCCTAGCTGTAAACCAACAGCTTGCCAACCACTCCTTTAAGGGCAAGCATGAAGAAAAAAGATTGAATTAGCTGTGCAGCAAATGATATAGCACGCTGAAGTGATACATCATTTATTGAAACAACACTGTCTGAGTGCATCCGCCTGAGAGGAACCAGATCTGTAAAATGGATGTGCACACAAAACTCAACAAGAGTAAGTGGACGAACAACCATAACTTTCTGCAGCACTTTACAGCTGGTGTATGCTAAGAAAAAGAAGAAGAAAACAGCACCGATCAACTCAAACATCTGAACAGCAACAACAACAAAACATTCCTACCTTTAAAGTAGGTGGAGTCAAGCTTGAAAGTTTTGTCATCTTCTGGCTTATCTCCCTGAAAAACATACAATAATGTTTGATATAATAGGGAACTTTTTTTTATCTTCTCCTCCTCCTCTTTCCTTCCTTATCTTACTCTTCTCCTCTTACTTCATCTTCTTCATAATAAGCCTATTTATGTTCTTAAATACGGGAATGGTCACATCTTGTTGGTAAGAAAAGAATAGATATGATTCATCATTCATTGAGGATGTCAAACCAAATGAGCTATGCTTTTTGACATTATGGTGATCAAGTATGAATAGTCATTTACCACTTTCACTCTGAGAAGCTGAAAAACTGACTTCAGGTTGGGCCTTGCCTCCCATAAATGTTTCTTTTCTGACTAGCCTATCATGACCGGTTTACGAAATGTTTATTAATTCAATTGACTGAGTTCATGCCTGCGGAAACATTTAGGAGGTCAAGATATGAATAAATTAGAGGGGTCTTTCTTTGTGCTAAATGGCTTTTTTCAAAGTCAAGATGATGTCAGATTTTCTTATAAGCATTAGCGGTAAAGGTCATAGGGCTCAAGTTGGAACACTGTGTGCCAAATTCATTGAGAAACAGAAGATCAAATGGTTTTATCATATCATTAGAATGCAGCCATAACTACCAACACAGGTACTAAACATAAAAATATCTAATGTAAAATCAAGAGGTTGCCTTAGCAGAAGATAGACTGATAACATGAAAGACCTTCTACATCAATATTTAATTAATGACTATAGCCATTGTTACCCGTTAAGCAATGGATTACAAATTGCTCCTCCTCCATGACGGTTAATGACAAAAGTGGAAACTGATGAGGATGAATAACTATAATAAGTTACCTGGCCATGCTTTGCTGCAGAGACTGCAAAGTTGTCAAGAACTTGCCACCGTTTTGTTAAAGCTTCTTTTTTGGCATCAAAGTCCAGAGCTTTCTTTTCATCCTGCAGTTTCTTCAACTAAAAACAACATAAAACACATCAGTAACTTCACATTAAAACTATTTTACAATAGGGATATTCAGCTAAGTTTACTCAAGGGCAAACATTTTTAAAATAGGGATCATCATAGATTAGAAGCCAAAGCTTCAGCATACAAATATCACTGATACAATACAGGTGGCAACAATCTGCGGGCCACTTGCTAGGCCTCTGTGAGCCAGATTTGGTCTGCGGGCTACTTGCTAGGCCTCTGTGAGTGAGACTTGGTCTGTGGGTCACTTGTTAGGCCTCTGTGAGTCAAACTTGGTCTGTGGGTCACTTGCTAGGCCTCTGTGAGTCAGACTTGGTCTCTGGGTCACTTGCTAGGCCTCTGCGAGCCAGATCTGGTCTGCGGGCCACTTGCTAGGCCTCTGTGAGTCAGACGGTCTGTGGGTCACTTGTTAGGCCTCTGTGAGTCAGACTTTGTGGGTCACTTGCTAGGCCTCTGTGAGCCAGATTTGGTCTCTGGACCACTTGCTAGGCCTCTGTGAGCCAGATTTGGTCTGCGGGCCACTTGCTAGGCCTCTGTGAGCCAGATTTAGTCTGTGGGCTACTTGCTAGGCCTCTGTGAGCCAGATTTGGTCTGCGGGCCACTTGCTAGGCCTCTGTGAGTCAGACTTGGTCTGCAGGCCACTTGCTAGGCCTCTGTGAGCCAGATTTAGTCTGTGGGCTACTTGCTAGGCCTCTGTGAGCCAGATTTGGTCTGCGGGCCACTTGCTAGGCCTCTGTGAGTCAGACTTGGTCTGCAGGCCACACGCTAGGCTTCTGTGAGCCAGATTTGGTCTCTGGACCACTTGCTAGGCCTCTGTGAGCCAGATTTGGTCTGCGGGCCACTTGCTAGGCCTCTGTGAGCCAGATTTAGTCTGTGGGCTACTTGCTAGGCCTCTGTGAGTCAGACTTGGTCTGTGGGTCACTTGCTAGGCCTCTGTGAGCCAGATTTGGTCTCTGGGCCACTTGCTAGGCCTCTGTGAGCCAGATTTGGTCTCTGGGCCACTTGCTAGGCCTCTGTGAGCCAGATTTGGTCTGCGGGCCACTTGTTAGGCTTCTGCGAGCCAGATTTGGTCTGTGGGCCACTGTTTGAATAGCCCTGTCTTACACATTTAATGTTTAAAAAAAACTGGCACCTTGAATCTCCTGAAAAAAAAAGACAGTTTGATGTTGATTGCATCCATTTTTAAGTGTCAACTGGTCTATAAAAAAATATGGATCTTGCATCATATGCCCTGTGTGTGAATAGCATGAAAAGAATACTTTAAAAGGTTTTTTTTACTTTAAGACTCAATGAAAATCATTACATGAGCACACACATAAGCCCATTTACACACAAACTATAAAAAACATATTTACACACAAACTATAAAAAATATTCACCTCATCTTTCAACTGTTTGACTTTCTCTGTAACATTTGCATCTTCCTCCGTGACATATTTCCGCTGGTAGCTCACTTCAGCAATGGTGGCATTTCCTTTTCCTTCAACTCTGTAAATATAACAATGCATCTGACATCTCAACAATCTACTTGTTTATTCTTCTAATCTAACCTTGTGGGCTCCAGAACAAGGACATTCATTTAAACTATAAATGTATATAACTAAAACTACCCTCAATAGCCAAAAATTTGTAAAGCCTAATCCTCCTCAATAGCCATAAGTTTATAAAACTAAACCTTTCTCAACAGCCACATATTTTTAAAGGCATATATTTATAACACTAAATCCTCTTCAACAGCCACAAATATACAGTTAGCATCTATGCCTTAAGACATTGGCTGCGGGAGGCTGAGCATCTATGGGTATGCCCTGTGTGCTTTGTTGTCAATTCTCAAATCAGTAATCAGTCATCAACAGCCACATATTTATAAAGCCATTTATAAAACTAAATCCTCCCCAACAACCACATATTTATAAAGCCATTTATAAAACTAAATCCTCCTCAACAGCCATATATTTATAAAGCCACAAATTTATAAAACTAAATCCTCCTCAACAGCCACATGTTTATAAAGCCATTTATAAAACTAAATCCTCCTCAACAGCCACATATTTATAAAGCCATTTATAAAACTAAATCCTCCTCAACAGCCACATATTTATAAAGCCATTTATAAAACTAAATCCTCCTCAACAGCCATATATTTATAAAGCAATAAATTTATAAAACTAAATCCTCCTTAACAGCCACATATTTATAAAGCCATTTATAAAACTAAATCCTTCTTAACAGCCACACATTTTTAAATCCATATATTTATAAAACTAAATCCTCCTCAATAGCCATAAATTAAAAAAAATAAAATTCTCCCTTAACAGCCATAAGCGTACATAAGTAAACCACCTTCAACAGCCATAAGCTTAAATAACTGAATCATCAAAAAGCTAATTTTATGTCCTCTCTCAACCCTCCTCTAGGGGGGCTGCATGGTCTCAAGGTATGGTGTCCATCTCAGTTGCTAGAAGGCTTGGATTTTTTCACATGGAGTTGGATTTCTAGTAATCCGTCCTGGTCTCTGGGTAGTGAGATTGGAGGCCTGTGTGTATTGTTTGAACGTAAAAAAATATTCCTTGGTAGTTGGAAATCGAAAAAAGTAGCCTAACGGTGCTGCGCTGGCAAAATTTTTAGTTAAAAATCTGTCCCTAAATATTTTAGGATCCTTGCCGGTGCTGAAGAGCCTGTGCATTGTGCTGAGCTACTTTGGACTCAGACTTTAGATGGAAGTAGAACGGAGCACTTATGGGTTACTACCTATGTGCCATGATGTTGATCCTTGTTTAAACCTGAAACCTCAAACTGTCCTCTCCTCTCACAATCCCTCACTCAGCCTGCCCTCTTTACTCCAAAGGAAAATGTTTGGGAAAAAAGCATACTGCAGAAGATGCCAGATCAAAAGAGCCGGGTTCCGTCTGTCTACTTGACAGAACTTGCCTCCCAGATCAGATGCCAACCAAAACCAAGTCGGCTTTGTATAACATTTAATTTTCAGGTTGCATTTCCTGGTCTAGGATTAGTTTACTTCAAACCTGATTTGCTCTTCCACTCAAAACTGTTAGCACCAAAATCTGGCATCAACAGAGAAAAGGTAGTACAGACATCAACCAAATCCGCTGTAATAGCCTAAAACATATACACAATTCCTCATGATAGGCCACAAACCTACTTAACTAAACCCTCGTCAAGAGCCACAAAAGACTTAACCATCTAAACTAAGTAAAGAACCAACATCAAAGCATTCAAGGATATTCCATATGCCCTCTGTCCTCATCTTAACTCTTTGAGTCCCATGAAACGCATCATACGTTCTTAGATTCCTACCTAGAGGCCCAATGAACGCATGATGTGCCGATTTTACGTCTCTCTTGACTACCCCTTGGGCCTGTGATGCTAAACCCCCTGGGACTCAAAGAGTTAAGCAGTCTGCAAGGAGTTCCTCTGATCACTGACTATTGACCAAATCACCTGACAAACATCTAACTGAATTCTCCCCAGTAGCCACAAACTCAACTAACTGAATCCTCCTTAACAGACATACCCCACAAACTCATTTAACCGATTCCTCCCCAACAGCAACACCCTCACAAACTTATCTAAGTGAATCCTCCCCAATAGTCATAAACTCACGCAACTGAATTCTTCTCAACAACCACACTTTCACAAACTCATCTAGCCAGATCCTCCCCAATAGCCACAAACTTAACTGAATTCTCCTGACAGTTAGTCAGAGGCCAGTTCGACTACGGGATGAACGGAGTTGATGATAGTGAATCATCACGTGTGAACGAGCTGACCCTCGGTAAAAATCAGTGTGAGACCGGGCAGCTTGACCACGGAATAAACTGGGTCGAGTTAACTGGCTAAGCCCAGCTCCCACGGTTAACACGTATTACCGCGTGTCGAGAGATGAACGCGGGGAGGGGAACAAAAAGCTTGGACAGAGCTTGCTGGAGGAGAGTTGTGTAGTAGGAACTTGGACTGGACGAGACGTAGCACTTCGACTAGGTAAACGTATGTTAGTTTAGTGACGGTTAGATTGGATAGTGTTTGTGGTTAGTATTTTTTAGATAGACTGTGTTTCCATTTAATGGTTCGACGAGATAGAGTAGAGTTAACGTTCCTTGTATAGTAGATGTTCCACGCAGTATTTGTTAAGCAGCTAGTGAATGTGTGACACGCATTGGTAATGGCGGTAACACTGACCAGTCACACTTAGACCATACACCTTACGAGTGTCGCTGAGTCCCGCGTGACAATAGACGGCGACTTAGTCAGCACTGATAAACTGTTAGTTTGGAATCGTGTCCTTGGGGATCCATGGGAACGGCTCGGGTTGACCAGTGAATGTAAAAGCTGCTCAACGCCGACGTTTCGGATAAGGACTGCCAACTTGGTTGAGGTGTTACTAGTTGTATTGTTCATTGTACATTAAAGATTATGTTTGTACTCAGCAGGTGCGTGTCTTAAGTGTGTTGTAGGGTAGTGAAGTCTGTTAGCTGGCCTATTTAGCGAGCCATAGAAAATGAATATAGTAAAGTAGGTCGCTGACAGTTAATGGGTGCTATCGTTCTTAGGAGTTGAATCTGGGATACTGACAGATAATGGAGTTGAATCTGGGATAGTGACAAATTATTTACATTATTAGGTGTTGTGTGACTTGTTGCGTTTATAGTCGTCTCTTCGCAAAGTCAGCGCTTGGTTATATATCTTATCGTTCTCTTAAAAATTAGATTTAGCTATTGAATTGATTTCTTAATGTATGATGACTTAACTTGTATAATTATAGAGGCTAGTTTGTGATCGTGTGTTACATTGTGTTGTTACTGTATCAACTGAATGTCCCTAGCATTAATAACTGATTGTGTTAGGAACATGTGGCGTCTTGACGAGTAGGATAAACGACAAAGACAAACGTATCATTTTTTTTTTTGGTGTGCCATGTGCTGAGTTTGGAAATTTAAATTGTATAATTATTGTATATTATTATACATTCTTGTTATTGTAATTTTTTTTTTCGGCTTTATTGTTGTAGTGTGCATGTTACTTACTATTTTGAAAGAAAGTTCACTGATTTGTGGTAACACTCATAACATTACAAGATGTCGAGTCTAGCTGATTTCATTGAGCTGGCCAGACAGAATGGGTTGACATGTGACAAAGCTCTTGAATGGGCTGACAAGAAGTACGCTGATCAGCAGGAAAGGCAGGATTGCGCAGATGAGAGACAATTAAGAAAGCTAGAATTAGAGACTCAAGCGATGGCTAAACAGAAAGAGTTGGAGACTCAAGCGAATTTGAAAATGCAAGTGTTAGCAGCTCTAGCCGAAAGGGACCGAGTTCAATTACTAATTAAGGAAAAAGAAATACAGCACGCCATAGTTTTGAAGGACAAAGAGATAAGTATTAATGCTGAGCTACAGAAGGAAAAGCTAACTATGGAATTTAGAGCCAAAGAAATGGAAGCCGAAAGAAATGTCAAAATATAGATTAGAAAGGCTGAATTAAAGGCAGCAGAACCATCCTTTAAGAAATACCAAGGCCTTAATTAATTTTTCACTCAAGGTAATTCAATTTCTGCCTGGACTCAAAACTTTGAGTACATGATTAAACATTATGAAGTCCCACGTTCAGAATGGTCACTCATGTACAGAAAGCATCTAGGGGGTGAACCACTGAAAGTTTTAGACCATCCTGGTTGAGAAATTAGATTACTATGATTTTGCTAAAGATAGAATATTACAACATTTCTCTTTGGAAAAATAATCTTATAGAAATGCTTTCAAAAACTTGTCACCAAAACCTGAGCAGAATTTCATTGATTTCCTATCTGAAGTTAAGACCACTTTTGATAAGTGGATAAGCTCCGCCAAAATTGGAAAATTATTTGACTTATTGAAAGACCTTCTAATTAGGTATAAAGTCTTATGCAGTGTACCAACCAGCATGATGACATTCCTGATCGAACAAAGACCATCCACTGTCAAAGAGATGGAAACATCTGGAAAAGCTTACTTTAATTGCTCATAAAAATGTTTTTCGCTTTGGAAAAGGCCCAGATATAAACTATGGGGCGGCTGTGCAACCTCAGTTGAGAAACAGACAGTACCAGTACGAATCACCAAGGAATTCTTACAAGAGTTATAGGAGTCAAAGACCCTACAGAGATACGGGTCCAGTGATTACATGCCCATATTGTAAAACAGAGCATGGGAGAAAGCAGTGGTGTGAGGAAAAACCCAGGGTTCAAAGAACATTTGCAGAGATGGTACAAGAGAAAAGCAGAAAAGAAAACCCAGTACAATGTACGTCGGGAATGCTGTAGCTGCCGCTCAGTGGATTATCTGCAAGAAAAATGCCCATATCACAAACAGTACCATCAGAGTGGTGCAGCAAAGACCTCATAGAGCAGCAACAATGACAGTGACAGTTCAGTGTCCGATGCAAACTTACAAGATGAGCAAACTGCAAATGCTGCAGAGGAGGTGAATTTCACAGAGACATCCTGTTAAGTGTGCAAAACGTTCAATGAGGAATTTAAACTGACATGTGGTCATAAGATACTAGATACAGGTGCAGCCAATTCTGCAGCTAGTTTTGATGGTAAACTCAACAATAGAAATACATTCACAAACGCACCTAACTGAATATTCCGTAATAGCCACACCCTCACAAACTCACCTAACTGAATCCTCTTCAATAGCCACAAACTCCTTGATATGAAGTTCATTGACCCCAGATGCCACAGTGACCTCCAGCTCACGACACACCTCAGCTCTATCTTTGTAAACTGTCACCCTGGTCACTGGACACTCGCTGGTGCTCTTAGAGATTTCATTGATCGTTTTGGTTGTTTTCTCTGCCATAATGCCTCTGTCGTGAATTATTCTGTCTCTGCTAGCAGTCAGATTTTCTAGAAAAAAAGTAAAGATTATTAAAAACATGCATAAATACCCTAAAAATGTAGAAAATTACAACAAACCATGAAAAAGTTTAGAAAATTTAGAGAACTAATTAAAAACATGTATAATATCTTGACACACATGGTAAATTACTTAGAAAATGTAGAGAATCACCCTTAAAAAATTGGAAAATTATGTCTAAAAATTCATGTTTTTCTAAAGGTAGTTACAGCTTGCTGCAGATGGACAATATTTGTAAAGAAGTAGACAAATCAACACTCAGGATGTCATTTACTGCTTCTTGTCCTCTTCTTTATCATTATCTCTGTGTGATCCTACTGAGTGCTAGTCAACATTCCAAAATGCACATAAGGGTTAAGAACCAACAGCACAGCACTGGTTGGGGGGTGGGGTTCCCATAACACATTCTTATGTACAGTATATGAGGATGAAACCTGGATACTACTACTACTATTACTCCATTCACATCTTCAGCTGCAAGCGTAGTGTTCAAAGATGCACTAGCATCTAATTAGAGGCATACGGAAGAAGCGACCCCAGGCATTATTACTCACATGGACTGTCTCAATTTTAAATAATTTAAGAATTCTTCGAATGGACGAGTCGATCTGTCTAATTATTAAATGATAATACATTATTTGATAAGCCAAAATAAGCAAAATTACTTTTAAAGCCAACTTTACGATGACAATGATATTGATAAGAAATAAATTCGATGTCTACTAGTCTATCTGCTCCGTCAGTATACTGAAATGAACTGCATAATTAGGTGTTTGAGCGGAGTATAGTCACACCCAGAACATTACAAAGTACGTAAAAATAGAACTTCCCGACCAAAGTCGCCCAAACTTCCACAAGTCGGCTCTTCGATTTAAACAATACATTTTTAGCATTGAATGCAAAGCAAGTGATCTGCAAAATTTAATGCAAAAGCGTACAAAGTCAGCTGAAACTTGCCTCAAATTGGGTGTGAAGGATAAAGACTATCTCCTGGTACTTGCATATATTACCCGTCTTGTTTGTTAGCCAACGGTAAATGGCTGCTTTGACTTCCGCGTTCTCTTGACTGGGAGAGCAGGGAAGTATATGATTCACGATCATACATGTATGTGTGTGTGACTGTATGCTGTTTACTTGTGAATTCTTGAGTGAACTCTCGAGCGCCTGAGTGGTTTCGTTGTTCGATAAGTGAGAGATAGGGGACACCGATGAATATAACTGTGGAATTGTTAAAATGACTGTTAAATGTTTGCTGCAAAAGTGTCCATCATCATCATGAATCATGTCACTTGCAGAACGTAGCTCACATCCCTGGCTGCCCGAAAGAAACTCAGTTTCTCGTCAGCTCTCCCGCCTTGTGCACTTTCATATATAAGGAGTCAACTTTACCTTGTGCCGACCTTCGCATTGATTCAAAAGCGTTCTAACTGCTGATTGGCTCGCCGGTAAACGACTACGTCGCTAGTCGGGACAGTATTCGGGTCTGTCTGCTTTGATCGAATCAACACTGCAGGAGTCCTTTTTAGGGCTCTTGGTGGTGTGCAGTGCAAAGCCATTTTATATGGTCTACATACCTATATGTCTGTCTATCTACGCATATGTCTGTACAACCTATCTTTGTGTCAAACCTACTTACTTGTCTGTGCAGTTTCTCTCTCTCTCTCTCTCTCTCTCTCTCTCTCTCTCTCTCTCCCTCCCGCCCCAACCTCTCTTTTCTTCCAGTCTCCCCGTTATCACAGCGTACTCCACTTTCTCCCCTTATTATGACCTGCCTAGAGAATGCACATTAGTTACTTCTGGTGTGAGTTCCCATGAGGCCTGTTTCAATTAATCTTCACTGTCTGTTTTATCTGCCCCCTGTGTTTTCATTCTTAAAACCGCATCTCTGCTGCTACCACTCAGTTTCTCACTTCCTCCTAAGTCTGAGCACATCTGCTCGAGCGGCGAGGAACCAACAGTCTGCATAATAGTAAGCCATATATGTAAAAACGGATGTGCACGCAAAATATTAAGTTCACAAATAAGACTGAAGTCCTGAAGTGGTTTACTGATTACTGATTTAAGAATCGACATCACTGCACACCGGGCATAAACATAGATGCTCCGTCTCCCGCAGCAAATTACGTAAGGTGTAAATGCTAATATTTCCCGTAGCACACTGATTATACACACGCCGATCTCTTCCTCTCATCCGTCCCTCGTTGTCGGATCCACACTTAATTCCTCGTTCACACTTTCTTCCCCATGTTATTTCATCTACTCTCGTGTCTTCTGCCAAAAGTTCATGTATGATCTCCAGAATATCTCCCTTGTCCAGTACCAGTGTTCCCGTAGCTTTTGTAGCCATAAAATCTGCTCTTTCATTCCCTCGCACTCCTGCATATCCCTGACAGTATATCCACGTGATTCCCTGCCATGTTGGCGTACTGATGCATGGTATCTACTCATGCCACAGTAGTCCATGTTGAACCTTCCGCAATGCCGACTGAGAATCAGACACAATAATTTCTCTGATAACTTTGTTTTCTACTATCCAATTCAGAGCTGTACTGATTGCCTTCACTTCCATCCTGAAGTGGATGAACAACCAAAACTTTCCTCCAGAGTTTATAGTCGGTGAATGCTAAAAAGAAGAATCTCTCACTCATCTGCTGACCGCATATGATTTAATACCCGCCATTAGCGTCAACGCATAGAAAACAATAGGGGTGGAGGGTGGGGCGGCTATGCCCTTTTACACATTTTCTAGAAACACAGAGGGTTTTGGGCTGAGCTCCATTTATAAATACTACTGGCGCAGGGGCTCAAAACGTTTTAACCCCGAGGTTCTATCGTCTGTGCAAAGATGTGAGTCAGAACAAGTTTTTGTGTGAATTTGTTTACACATCCTTATGATTATCATTATCAAGCGTTTTGCAATTGCGTTGGCGATCATGCCTCTCGGCAATCTGCGATATTTAACAGTATGTATCAGTGCTAACACCCATCCTTTTTATGCCAAAAGACTGAAGAATCTTCTCGCATTATCTCTCTCTCTCTCTCTCTCTCTCTCTCTCTCTCTCTCTCTCTCTCTCTCTCTCTCTCTCTCTCTCTCAAAAATGCCTCAAAAAATTGTTTGGCGTGTTTATTAATTGTCCAGTATTCATAATATATGTTCAAGCCGGCTCCCTATAGCATGAGAGATTTTTTTCTCTTTGAAACCTCCGATAATGTGGATGTATTGCATATATTTTTTATTTTATAAAATAAATTCGGATGTGGGATGCAGATATGATTTCCGTGTAACATAATTAAATAATTACTTTAGGCATTGTATGTTGATTTCCAGCGCATGGCTGTGAAATATTATCCGGTTTGTTTTTGTTTTTCCAGGATGCATATGTTGACAATTAGTGTCATGTTTTACAGAAACAACTGGGTCGAGCTGTGGTGTGTGATTCATCGTTACTAGCGTGTGTCGTGCCAGGCGGCGTAGTACCCCCCCCCCTTCCCCCCAACCATGTGTTTTCCATGTTCGTAACAAAGTCCACGAAAATAATTTAAATAAACAAGAAGTAGAGCTAGTCAGTATTCCGCTAAAAGATAATTATGAATAAGCGTTGCTGCTACAAATTCCTCATCGGCATGCACAAACGCGGAGAATGATTTAAATAAAACAATATATATAAATGTAAATATATAAATGTAAATATATAAATGTAAATATATAAATGTAAATATATATATCGACGAATTCCACATTTAAAACTGTCATGATGATATTCAGGCCATTTTATTCAGCTTATCGAACATTTTGTTCAAATGCTGAAAATTCGCGATTAAAGCGTCTGTTTTAAATCCGTCCCATTATGGGACGCCAGTTTTTATTATTTGAAAGCCCCGCCCGTGCTGTCCTCGGGGGCCCTAAATATAACCCATGGGCTGAACGAGGTTTCTGTGTGATTCTCCTCCGTATGATGCACTTTGTGTCACTGAGAGTTTATCGCTGGTTGTGTAATCCTGGTGCGGTTGAATATTAGTCAGTCAGTCAGTCAATCGTCAGGCGGGCGGGCGGGTGGGTGGATGGGCGCGTGTGCGCGTGTGTCTCTGTGTGTGTGTGCGTATGTGCGTGCGTGCGTGTGTGTGTGTGCGCGCGGGTGTGTGGAGTATTGGCCAGATCTGATTGGTTAAGAACGCTGGGCTGTCATTGACTATTTCGAATCCTCGGTAAGATCATGGATTTTTATTTGCTCGGGTCAAAAGAAAAATTCTAATCCAAAGGGCGACCGGATTGCCGAAGTAAGATACTTATGAGTCTTGACCGGGTCGTCGAAGTAGGATACTCGTGGGTCTTGACCGGGTCGTCGAAGTAGGATACTCGTGGGTCTTGACCGGGTAGCGGAAGTAGAATACTCGTGGGTCCTTAACGATCGTCAACGTTTACGCCTGTAACGGAAAGGTCAAAGTGCGGCAGTAGTAGCGTTTGTTTTGTGCTTGTTGAAGGATACATCATTTATTGCGAGAATTTAATGCCAGAGGCAGCCAGTGGGTTAATATCATCAGGCAAAGAGAGCTGCAGTGAAGCAGCTAAAAAAAAAGTACGACAGACACCCTCAAGCCCACGAGAGGAAGTGGAGATGGCGAAGAATGTGAAAAAAGAAAAGGTGTAGGTTTTCAAAAGAGCCAAGTGGGAAACTTTTGTGAATGATATGGGAGGCGATAAAACATTGGGGAAATTCTGGAAACTGCAAAGGCAGATGCAAACAAAAGATCGGCCTATGACAGTAGAAACTATTTGTAGAGACGAGGTGTGCGTATGACAACAGACAAGGAGAAAGAGGGGGGGGGGTTCTCCATAGATTTATAGCTCAGACAGACCATAATGATGTATCCATCATGATACAGTTAGAGAGGAGTTAGCTGGCACCTTAAAGAATGTGCACTATAAAGACATGATACGAGTA